TGTACACAGTCTGGGCGAATCCCTGCCTTCACTTTCTGAGGCGTCGGACGGTTTGCCAGAACTTCTTCGAGACCGACCAAAAGTCTGTCTCCATGGCCTCCCTGAACTCCTCCCACACTCGAGTTTTAGCTTCCACAGCCACTGCAGCTGCAGCCCTTTTGGCCAGCCGGTACCTGCCTGCTGCCTCAGGAGACCCCCGAGCCAGCCAGGCTCAAAAGGTCTCCTTCTTCAGCCTGACAGCTTCCCTCACCGCTGGTGTCCACCAGCGGGTTTTGGGGTTGCCGCCACGACAGGCACCAGTGACCTTCTGGCCACAGCTCCTAACAGCTGCTTCTGCAATGGAGTATTTGAACATGGCCCACTCTGACTCCATGTCCCCAACCTCCCCCGGGATGCATGAAAAACTCTTCTGGAGGTGGGAATTGAAAATGTCAGATGTTCCCAGTTCACCCGCACTACGCGTTTGGGTTTACCAGGTTTGTCCGGCAGTGATCAGATGACAGCTCTGCTCCTCTCTTCACCCGAGTGTCCAAAACATACGGCCGCAGATCTGATGATACGACTACAAAGTTGATCATCAACCTTTGGCCTAAGGTACTCTGGTACCAAGAACACTTATGAGCAACCTTATGTTTGAACATGGTGTTTGTTATGGCCAATCCCTGGCTAGCACATAAGTCCAAAAACAAAACACTGCTCGGGTTCAGATCGGGCAGGCCGTTCCTCCCAATCACGCCCCTCCAGGTTTCACCGTCATTCCCTATGTGAGTATTGAAGTCCCCCAGGAGAACTATGGAGTCCTCAGGCAGCACCCCTTCCAGGACACCACCCAGTGACTCCAAGAAGGCCGAATACTCTGAACTGCCGTTTGGTGCATAAGCACAAACAACAGTTCAGAGTTTTCCCCTCTTCAACACGCAGTCGCAGAGAGGCAACCCTCTCCTGCTCCGGGGAGAACTCCAACAAGGTGTAGCTCAGCCGGGGGCTTGTGAGTATCCCCACACCCACCCGGTGCCTCTCACCGTGGGCAACTCCAGAAAAGGAGAGAGTCCAACCCCTCTCCAGGAGTTTGGTTCCGGAGCTCTTGCTGTGAGTGGAGGTGAGCCCGACTATATCTAGCTGGTGACGCTCCACCTCCTGCACCACCTCAGGCTCCTTCCCCGCCAGTGAGGTGACATTCCACATCCCCAGAGCTAGTCTACGCCACCAGGAGGCGGTACGCCAGGATGCCCACTCCTGCCTACCACTCGGTGGGCATAACACCTGACCCCGATCCTCTGCCCTGAGGGTAGGCTCAGCCATCAGACGCTCCCTGGCGAGCTCCCCCACCCCTCCAGGCCTGGCTCCAGGGGGGTGCCCCGTTCTCCCTGTTCCGGGTGAGGTGGTGGCTGTCAGCATTTAAAACATTTTCTCTTTTTTCTGTTGGAGATCAAATTACGTAACAACTGCAAAAATATTTAGTGTTGGAGCTCTTTCAGGTGCAACATTTAAAGGTAACAATGAGAGATGTCAAACAGAGCAGCTTGTTTCAGTGCTTTAGTCTTTTATTCTTGCACAAACACATCCATCTATCCATTATGTATCCACCGCTTAATCCTCACTCGGGTCGCAGGGGGCTGGAGTCTATCCCAGCTGACTCAAGATGAAGGCAGGGGACACCTGGACAAGTAACCAGTCTATCACAGAGCTACACTTCGAGAATGTCTTAGAGTCTTGCTGCGAGGCGACGGCGCTAACCACCAAGCCACCTTGCAGCCCTTACAGCAACAACTTTATGCAGTTTTTAAGAAGCTAGAAATATTTTCTGGTCTCCAAAAGCAAAATGATCCACAATCCAACTGGTCACATAACACACTTAATACATTTCTATAAAAAAAAAAAAAAAAAAAATAAAAAGCTGGAAAACCCTTTAATTTGGGGGCAAAAAAATCTCTTTAACTCAATATTTTTAGTAAATGAGAATTCACAAATGAAAAGATCAAGGTCTTGGTTGTATTTTAAGTCTTCAGTGGGGTCTGCAGGTGCTTGTTTGTCAGAGCAATAACTTTAAAAATGTAGTCTGTTCTCCTACAGGATCTCATTTATTTAAAAATTCTGAAGAATATTCATCTTAAATCAACTGCAACACATATCAGCACTAAATCACAGCACACACGTCCTTAACATGCTTGACATTGTAGCTTTGGAATGACGTTTCTGAAGTTGGAGTTCGAAGAGAGGACACCCAAAGACCACAGATGACTGCAACAGTACTTTGGTGTTTATTAATCACGTCTGTGTCAGTCACATGAATTTAAAAAAAAATAAAAATAATGCATAAATAAAAGAAGTGGGACAAAAAAAAGTCCGCTGCATGAAAAACTGCTCCTCTGCTGCGACTCCAGACAGATCGTGCAGGTATTTGACTGTCGTGAATGGAGGATGGGGGAATGTTTGCACCATGTATTTGTGACTTCAACAGCAGTAGGACTGGTAGTGCAGGTGATTTAAGTTAACAAAAGTTTGGAGATAGTGTTCACTGCACTTTAAAGCATCACGGTTGGACATTTCAGTCAGTTTCTCATTTGCAGCTCGCAAAGACGAAGAAGTCATGCATATCTTTAACCTGCTGGACTGCTTTTGTACCAGTTTAATGACTGTAACAGCAGAGTGTGACGGAGAGACAGACATCTGTTTGTGGCAGATATTTTCATGTCGAACCAAACATTCCTCCTCTTTAATCCAAGCACGACTGACACTTTCCAATCATTCTCACAGTTTTTATTCAGTTGGTTTGCACAACTGGACAGTCATTTTGACTGCAGAACATCAGAAAACAGTTTTTGAGAACGCCCACGGATCAAGAATGCAGAATGTTTTATCTTAACACTTGGAATCCAAAATCTACAGATGTTCACTTTACTGTAATTATATAAACTAGAAAAATCAACTTCTGTTCTTGTTTCAGAGGCTAGAAGCAGCTTTAAAAACAACAAACGCAGTTATAAATCAATCTGTTCTCTCATCATCTCACTGACTGATCGCTGCAGCTCCGATGTGTTTCTACATTTGATTCAATGACAATCATCAGGAAAAACCCTCAACAGCAAGTTTCAAATGAAACAATTCATCAGAATGATCAAACATTTACACAATATGAAGAGTAGTATGATTGAAATATGTAGATGTGGGTTTAATCACTGCAGTATTATTTTCAGACACCTTTCTCTGTTATACTTACTCATGTTTTGTTACTGAACACGTCTGATCGAGTTTTCATCCCTGAAAAGTCACAAAGGAAGCATTTGTCTTGTAATAAATATAATGAACTTCACATCTGCTAAAATGTCAAAGGTCCTCTAGAAACCTAGAAGTGAACTATAGATCAAAGCTGAACACCAACTGATGCTCAGACACCTGAATTACTCTATTTCAGTTTCATGAGCTCAGCAGTGTCGTCAGTTTTCCAAAGCCAAAATCCAGCATGTAGCGGCTGAGTGAACGTGGTCTGGACTCTGTGGAGGAGAGTCATGGTTTCAGAGACGCTGTAGAAAGACAGAACACCTGCTCTGTGATCCAGGTAGACTCCTACTGTGGAGGAAAGAGGACCTGAGACGGGAGTTTTGATTTTGTTGAACCAAAACGTATAGCCATTTGTCTGACAGCATAAAAACCAAGATTTGTCATTTAATCCAAATCGACATTCATCTGACCATCCTGCTCTGCTGATAGTCTTGTATGCGACTGCTACATCGACTCTTCCGCTCCACTCCACCTCCCAGTAACAACGTCCAGTCAGACTCTCTTTACTTAGAACCTGAAAACATGTAATGAATCTGTCTGGATGATCAGGATAAGACTGAAGTTGTTCCATCACTGTTACTTTTCTGTTTCCCTCTGATAAGAACAGATGTTTCTGTGCTGTGTTTGGATCCAGAGTGATTTCTCGTGAATATTTTAAGAACTCAGCTCTGGTCTTTGGTTCTGGTTCTGGTTCTGACAGTAGAAC